GCTCTAATTTCTCGCACACAACTCCGATTCGCACGAAACTTGGACCAAAATTCTCCTCATTGAATTCTCTTCGTCCCGGTATGGCTTGGTCGGATTTTTCGGGTTGGATGGATCGGATGGCCCGTCTCCTCTTCTCGACAAGTTGGACCTAAACAACACCAAAACAAAAGAGAAAACGCACAGAAATACGAAAGCACTATACAATAACAAAAATACACAAAACACGATAAAATGGACCGGTCGAGCCTAAAAACGGACCTAAAAACCACAAAATAAAACACATAAAACACAAGAAAATAAGGACAAAAACACAACAAACAGTAAACTTTCCACAAATGATTTATTGACCATTTTTTTTTCAAATATACTATGCACAGGGCTGTAATTATAAATTGTTGGTATAAAAGCAATGAAATATTGATTAGTATAAAAATAAATTTTAATTTATTTTTTATTTTATGATATATAATAATTTAATATATGATTTTTATGTTTATTACACTCGTTATAATTTTTTTGTCATTTTAGAGTTCTTGTTTATAAATAAGGATAATAAAAATTTAACATATTTAATCATTATCAATAAATATTACTCACATATTAAATGGTCAAATTTCTTGTGATATTGTGAAAATTTATGTTTACAACTTTTAAAAAACTGAATCGACTGAGTTATTGATATATCTAAGGATTTCAAAATGATCCTCTTGATTAAATGACTTTTATAGATGGTATACGATTGGTTTCCAAATGAATAAGAAATCATTGTGATTTGTTATTAATGTTGATAAATAAAATCCTATTCAAACGTTGTGATAATATCATAATAAAATTTCAACAACGGATTTTCACTTTTTATTTTCTAATTATATTTGTAATTTTATCATGCATATGAAATAATATTTTCTAGCAAAGACATATTCAACAGATGTTTTTTTAAGACATGTTGTATGACTGGTTAACAAAAGAATAATAAATTTCAATGATGCGTAATTACTATGAAAAAATCGAATTTTTATTGCGATAATAATAAAATAAAAATGAGAGTAGCCTTTTTCTTGTTGATTTTTTTTTTTTTTTTNTTTTTTTTTTTTTTTGTTCATTATTCCGATGTTCGAGGAGAGGCATGACCGTGGTCCGTGGTTAATTTATTTAATTGAAATTTGGTGTATAGTGGTGTATTGTGGGTTAGTGTCTAGTGGAAATGGTGGATCAACAATATATAATATTTTTGTTTGAGTGGTGTTATTAGTATTTGAACTTAATAGATAAGTGAATTATTTATGTAGAAAGTCGTTCTATTAACATAATTACATCCAGTAAAAAAAATAATAATAATAATTACACGATTTACAACATGTAGGTATAATTTATTTTTTATTTTATTATTCATAAAATTAAATGATTACCCGTTATAATACGTAGGTATAATTGATTTTCATTTTATTATTTATAAATATTAAAATAATTTTTAAATAAATCTTTAGACCATAAATGATTTAAAATTTCCTAACCAAAATCAAAATTACTTGAAGAAATGATCTCATATAAAATTTGAAATTCAAATCCAATTTCTACTGCAACATTAAAAAATTGATCCGGATTTCTAATCTATATATATAATTACTAGCTGATGCATTTAATAAAATATTTAATAAAACCTATTTTTATTTCCCTCCAAAAAGAGTTACTTTTTTTAATTAATTACTCACTAATCTGCTAAAACCGTTACACCTTAATATATATATATACATATATTGTTTATTTTTTGGATCAGTTACTAAATTAATTTTAAATTTGGTAGCAAAATATTCAAATATTCAAGTTGATGACACATTCAGAGTTGTAACCGCTATATTTGGTTGCATTGTTGAACGAAAAATATGATTGACACATTTTTTTTCTCTAAAAATCAGAAACACCAATAATGTCTTTTATTTATGTTAATTTTCTTAATATATGCCACAAATATATATATATTATTTTATTAATGTTACTAATGTAAACGTTGCATGGTTAAATAAAATTTAAATCTCAATTAATTTTGAATGATAAAAATAACTTCAGAAAAAGTAAAAACTTTTATATGATAGAAGTACATGTCTAATTAATAAATACAAACAAAAACGTGTTTATATCCGTGCAAACGCACATGATCAAATACTAGTTACATTTCCAAACTAATGTGTGGACCATAAATAATTTTAAATCTTCAAATCCAATTTTTTAAGCGCGTGATCACAAAATATAAATATCCAGCAACATTTCCATAATTGGTAAGCCAAACATTTGCCTCATTTTTTTTAGCTTTCCACGATTGATTTTACTGTCAACCTCTTTCAATATATATAGATATACAAAAAAATTATAGAAAGTCATCAAATATTTTTTTTTATGGAGCCATCCACCACTTAATGTGTTGACACATGTCCAAATTGTATTTATTGTAATTTGTAGGACACGTGTCAATACACTATTGGTGAATAAGTGTGGATGACTCCATAAGTCAGCCAACTTCGCAACAAAAATTTAGATATAGATATATATATATATATATATATATATATATATATATAGATTTATATACTTTTGGCATTTATCACGTGCGATTAAAACGAACTTTAAAAACACCACAATTTTATATGGGTAATAAAATAATAAAGGCCTACTTAAGAGTCCAAGTCACAATCACACATCCCTCCTAAGTCCTAACCATATTCCAATCTATATCACCTTAAAAATCCATCAAATTCCAATCCCATATGCCCATGCCCAAAATATAATAAATGTAAAGTAAAATTTTCCGGCGACCATGTCGAGTTTCAGGCGATTTTCCGATGGCCGCCGGCGAGGAGGAGCTCTTCAGAAGCCCGAACAAAACGAGAAGCCCAATTTTGTACGGACATGCAACCTCTTGAGTAAATACATCAAGAAAAAAAGAAGCCTTCGAGATTTCCACATTGAAATTGGTGACAAAATTGAGAGCCTCCAAGATATAATCAGTAAGTTTTTCTCTGTTATTTTAGTTTTAATTTTAACCCCCAACTCTCAGATTTTGTTTTGCTGTATGTATGTCGTTTCATTTTCTCAGATAATATGGAAACTCTGATTTTATAATTTTGGGGCCACAGTACTTTGAAATTTCCCCATTCGACATGCTTTTGTTCATTTGAAGAGTTTCTAAAATTAGCTAAATTAGTTGGAAGGAGATCGGCATGCACACATTGGTGATAGTATTTTTTTAACATATTAATATCACCAATGTGCGAATGTCACATAAGCGGTGGACATATTAACATGTGTCCACGGTGGGTAGGTGAGCATTATCTTATTTTTACAAAGAATCTTTGTAGATCCAAATAGTTTTAGTTCAGATTTGTATGGAAAAAAAAATTAAAAAATAAAGGCAAAATTACATTTTTAGTCCTACTGGTTTAACGTTGTAGCATTTTTAGTCACAAGATTTCAACTTTTTTGTCTTTTGATTCTGTAATTTAGTATTTTGTTGCAGTTTCAGTCATTCGAGATTAAAATTGCAACAAAACTTAAAATTACAGGACTTATTTAAGTCATGTAATTTTAAGTTTTGTTGCATTTTCAGTCCTAAAGGACTAAAATTGCATTGAATTTTTAAAATCATAGGACCGAGTAGCAAAAATGTTCATTTCTTAGGACTAAAAATGCCACTGGATTAAACCAACCAACATGACTAAAAATTGCAATTTTGCTAAAAATAAATTTTCAGCTTTCACCATTTGCTGTTATAGTTTTATTATGCACTATTTTTAGGTTTGAAAATAGGGTTTTTTTTTTTAATTATTATTTTTAATTTAGTGAAGCCCGGGTCAAATCAGGCTGAATCAGCTTCAACAACAATGAAAACAGTGAGAAATAATGGAAAAACAGCTGAGCCATTGAAGGAGCAACAGCCAAGAAGGGCTCATCAAGATCTCTCCATTAACACAGTTTTAGATCCTTCATCATATGAACCCAAAAGGTTTTATTTCTTTTGCTCCATGTATTATTAAACTATTTTTGTTTGTTAAATTTCAATATATTTACTTTTATTTTTTGACTTTTAAGATGTATGAAAAAAAAAAAAA